ATCACTCAGGAAGCCAATAAGAGAACATTTTTCATCTCACCCACACTGAAATCCACTCATATTTCTCCTTTCAATTTTAGCCTTTTTAATTAAAACAAGCTAATGAATATTTAGTGCTCTTATCATGGTCAACTGGTGCATTTTGTTAAGAGTCGCGGAGTTCAATCAAATTGCTCAGATGCATGGGAACCTGTAGCTTAATTTATCTTAAATGTAGGTTTCCCTGATTTAAGAGCTAATTTGAATTTATCTTTTGAACTCCTACTGTGTGTAGAACACTGAATGAGCACTGAAAATGTTATTGAGAACTATAGAATCCTGGATCAGGGAAGACATTAGAATTTATCTAGTCCTCCTTATAATGAGGAAAATAATGAATTATGCATAAAAGACTTAATCACAGAGTAAAAGATCAACAATAAAAAAATGACTAACCTTATAGCAAGCTATATAGTCACAAAAATCACCTAGTCTTAGTTTTAGGAACCATCTTAGAAGTTATTTGTCCCCTCCAGACATACAACTCAAGATATTTTTCTTTTATAGCACTTGACAAATTATTACCATGTTTCTGCTTGCACATGTCTAATTAGGGGCAACTTATTTCAATTTTGGTCAGTATTGATTATCAAATGTTCTTCTTTATGTTGTACTGAACTTGACCTACTGGGAAGTTCCAGATTTGCTTATCCTTGATTTGGCTTTCTCTGAAACGAGTCAGAATTAGTTTCACTCCTCACTACATAGAGCCACATCTTTTCTGGCTACCTGTGTGTTTCCTGGGGCTTAACTTGCTATTCCAACACATTATTAATAGCTGTGTGACAACATGTATCACGTTAACCAAGTCAGGCCTCTGGAGTCCTCTCCAGCCACAAATAAGAGGCTGTAAGTTATTTTAAATACTTACTCGTTTAGCAGACATTGCTGGCTGCCTACATGTACTGGCTACTGCACTAAGGACCAGAGAGAAAGGCGTGAGCTCAGCAGGAGGGGCCACCCAAGAACCAGAGAACCAACTAGAACAAATAGCCTGCTCCCTTTACTCTCATGTCCTGTAGAAGATGAGGGTCTTAGAGTTCTAATAAAATAAACCCCTACGAGCTTATACTTCCAAAAGAAAAGAATTGTAAATTCAGAATTCCAAGAAAATATCAGAAAAATGTGTGTAAATTTGCTTAGCTAAGAGCCTGGTATGAAGAAACTTTCCTAAGGAATGGACAGAAGTGATACCAACCAAGAGGTGTAAATGGGTGAGGAAATAAAAGGATATGGGATATTGATCAAACAATTAAACACTCACTCTTCTTTTCAATAAACCTTAGTTTTTCCAACAATACATAATATATCACTGATAATATTCCATTCTTGTTCTGAAATTCTACACTATCTGTACTGTCTTATATTGTTTTGTTTCTGTCTTTGTTCTTATTATTTGTTCTAGTTTTTGTTTTTCCTCTTTAAAATAAAAAAAGTATATGGGGTATTTATACTAAGATGATGTTAGGTCATGCCTACAATACATGCATGTGGACTGATACCCTCCAGATGTGATTCTTATCTAAGTTCACAGAAGATATGTGTCAAGCAGCATTAGCAATATAACCATTGACCTAATTACCTCCTAAAATTTATCCTAGAGGCCTGCTTAGGCAGACACAGGGGTCAGAGGTTCAATCCCCAGCCTGCCATGCTGGCTCCACCCCTGGGGTGCACTGAGATGGCGATTGAGACTGGGAGTGGTGGAGCCTGCCAGTAAACCCAGCTCTTGGGAGGCTGAACACAGGAGAATCACCAGGAGTCTGATCTACATAGTGAGACCCTGTATCCCTGTAGGCCCTTACCAAAATACAAAAAAAAAATAATAATAATTATCCAAGAGAAATAATCATGAATGTGGCAACATTTTATCCATAGGATTTTTTTTTTAAATACTGAAAATTAAAAGTGTTTAAGACAGCATAAAAACAGGGCCAGCCAAATAGCTCAGTGGATTAAAGTACCTGCAAACAGGCACAGGAGATGGGGTTCAATCCCAGGGTCTGTTGTGCCAGCCCCGCCCTGGGGACACACTGAGACAGCAAGTGAGACTGGACATGGTAGTGTGCACCTATAATCCCAGTTCTTGGGAGGCTGTAAACATGTGGATCATACCTGTCCGATCGAGTAGTGAGACCCTGAACACCCTGTAGACCATTCACTAAAAAATACCAAGAAAAGATAACATAAAAATATTTAGTATAATTAGAATGATAGCTTATATCCTGTTTTATTATAATATACTCCCAAGATTGTAAAATGATAACAGTATAATAGCTAACATCTTAAAGCAATATGTCATGTGTTCCAAATCAAGAACTTTTATAGATTGTTTTTTCACCCTCACAACAGTCATATGAAGAAGATAATGCTGCCATCCCCATTTTTTAAAATAATTTTATTAAGAAACAAATAGCAATGAGACAGTTTCAAACTGATCAGCTTCAATAATAAATACATTTCATATTGTTGTCTCAGTGGTTATTCATTGTACAAGATGCAGACATGATATCCTGTCTCAAACACTATTAGAACAAATCTTATTCCTTGAATTAAGAGAATGTAGCTGTATATCTATCCTAACTATTTTGAATATACAGATACAAATGGTCATTCATTTGTTTTTTGTTTTATTTTTTCTATATTTTTTATTGAGAAACAAATAGCAATGAGACAGTTTCAAAACTGATTAATAGGACAGTTTTAATAATTAATGTATTGTACATTGTTATCTTCTTAGTGGCTATTCATAGTACAAGATGCAGACAGAATATCCTGTCCAAACACTATTAGTACAAATCTTTCTTCTTATTGAATTAAGCAAAAGTAGCTGTATATCTATCCTAACAATTCTGCATATACAGATACAAAGTGGTCCTTCCTTTGTATCCCCTTTTTTTTGTTTAGTCCTGTCAGAGATGGGTATTCCATTGGCATCTAAATACTAGAGGTGCATGAATTCAGCAAAGCAATCCAACACAGTCCAGCAGCCACAATAGTAGTGGGTTATCCACAGAAGTTGGTAACTTGAGCCTTTCACAGGTCAGCATAGTCATTCATTTGTATCCCCTTTTTTTGTTTAGTTTTGTCAGAGAAGAGTACTCCATTGTCATTTAAATATTGTAGGTGCATGAATTCAGCAAAATATTCCAGTATAGTCCACTAGTCCATAATAGTAGTGGGTCATTCGCATGACTGGCAATGTCAGAAGTTGTTAACCTGAGCCCTTTACAGCCCAGCTTGCCAACAAGGCATGCTTATACCTCATTTTTATACCTTTCTACTGGATGGTTAAGACCAAGATAAAGCAAGACCTATATAACAAGAAATGTAACTTTTGTATCTGGTAAGGTCAGTCAAGTCCCATAAGGATTTATCCTGAAACCCTGTACCACACTTTGTAGATCCTTTTTCAGTGTCAGCCATGTGGATGAGTCAAGGCCATTGCTTGGTCAATGTGCTCTCTGTGAAAGCCTGAGAGAATGTTTTCTCCTCATGTGACTCTCCTTAGGCACACTGTACATCATCGATCACATTCCTCTGTGGTCCCATAATCTCGTTAATCAGAAAATTTGGGACACAACTGAGCTAAATGATGTTATAGTATAGGTTCTCCTATGTCCTGAGTCTTCACTGACCTTGAAAGGCTAGGACCAAAATGTTGGCTGTCTTTGCAGCCCTTCTTTTTCTGCAATTTTTGGTCTGCAAATGTAGGTTGTAAA